TAGGAACAAGACAAAACAATGTGCAGTGGAGGACCCCAAATTAGATACTTTATTAGATTCAATCATGCAAGGTTTGGTTTCATCTAATGTCCCGGAATGAATCAAATTTCAACAAATAGCATGAATCAAATCTGATAGATGTAATTATATTAATGTGATAAATAAGTTGTTAAAAAATTCCAACCTTTAAATTGGATGGAACTTTAACTAAAAGGTTACTTTATCATTTTTGTTCAGGATTGTTTTCACTATATTTATGTATATTTTAGGAAATTTAAACATGACATTCAGGATATGTTTAAGATATTTATAACAGAAAAATAAAATTAATTTTGTAAAAGAATGAATAGGTTTCGTAGTGAAAGATGCAGAGAGTATGAATCCAACTTGTTTAATGAATATCATAAACTCGTGAAATTATACATAGATAAGTGCACCATATATTCCTCATAAATTAATGGTAAAGCCGGTACAAATAATAGGACTTAATTAAATTGATTGTTGCTATTATGTTAAATTTAAATGTTGCTTTTTATTGGTGGGGGAAAATATGATTGATTGTCTCTATATGCTTAATAGAGTTTCCAAATCTAAGATCAATGTCTCTCGTATAAAATCCTAAATAAAACATTACATAATTTGTCTGATCTTCGAATTTGGGGTTATCTAGCTTATGACATGATCTCTGATTTAAAGCGAGTTAAACTTGTCTTATATCCAACAAACTTTGCATTTCTGTTACGTTGCAGGGCTTTATGTATGTGTTAGGCTCTTGCTACATCATCACATATTGTCACAGGTTCGCCATGAAGATTATGGCATTTCATTTTTAGGTGGATCTCATTGGGAATTCCTTTTACCCTATCATTGTCTCTGAATCCGAGGACAAGTCTTTCTAGTTTCTCTTCACTAGATGTTTCTCGTTTCTTCTTTATTGTCATCGGCTTAACAATCTTTCATTTCATTGTCTCATTCGACAATGTATTTGGGTGAGAAAGCCTCAGGTAATATATTCGATGATATTATACTCCCTGATAGTGGAAGCAATGAATTTTCATTTCCCTCTTCGAACTTCTTCTTTATTGTTGTTGTTACCCTTGTTTTATTCGTCCCTCCCGACGATTCTGATTGCCTTTTTTATGACAACTTATTTCGACTAGGGGACTGTTTCACGCATGGCGGCTCACCTGCTCTTGGAGAACCAAATCTTATTTTATTTTCATCTTTCCTTTCATCCTCTTACACATGTTAACCTAATCTTTCTTTCTTATTCAACTCTTTGATGGCATCTTTCACATGAGTGCATTCATTTGTGTTTTGTCTGTGGCTTTTATGGAAGCAACAAAATTTTGGCATGCCTCTCATAACAAACTCCTTTATGGGATGGGAGTGTCTTACCTCAATCACTTTGAATTCGTTGTTGACACACTCTTGTAGAATAGTTTCTCTTAAGGTATTGAGACGAGTGTAAGATGAGAATTTGCTATAGAACTAGAAATTTGCTAGATTGCCCGACCCTTTATTTCTCTCTACATCTTCAGCCAATAACTTTTCTTCATAGTTAATATATGGTTGGCCTATAGTAAGAGGTCACTTATGCACTCCACGCCTTCTAGCCCTAACTTCTCACGAAACATGTAGTTTATCCTCAATCTTTTCTCAAACCAAAACAAGCTCTTAAAATAGGGTTGAGCTTAAACTGTACCTTGGTTTTATATCGGGCTAACAAAAAAACTATGAGATTTGAATACCAGGCTGATCTCAGACCTAAATGGAGGCTTAATCACATAATCCCAAATCAAAACTTTTAACGGGTTTAGCTTTGAACCCAAATAAATAATTCCAAAATGCATGAATTGTTCAACCAAGGTAAAAACGGCTATATTACAAGTGATTGTCACCTTTTTTATAAGTTACTTGTAATACAAGATTCCATGACATTATGTTGAGACATGTGGTATCTATGTGCTCAAAACATGAGGCAAATATGTGGAACAAGATGTCCCATATATTTTTAAGGACTTCATATTTTCATGTTATTTGTTTAATAGTGGGGTGTTTAATTTTTGATTTTAGGATCACATACTTATTTTGATTTTAATTTTCATTTTGATTCGGTTTTTATTCAATTTTCGGTCGATGAAGTCTTTAATATCATAGATATCGATTAACAAAGTTGTTAACCTTCATTATTTGAAATTTGTAGTGAGTGATCATCGAGATCATTGCCTATACTTTGGGATCGTGATAGGTTACCCTCGATTAATTGGCGAAAGTTTGTAATTAAGACGAGGTCGTCCGCTTTTCTTTTCGTGTGGCGCGATTCGTTGAGAACGATCCACAATATCATTTCTCTATCGTGTTTTAGCACAAATATCGTTGCTTGTGTGACCTCCTATAGCATGATCTTCATCATAGATCGTGCTACGATGGTTTAACTCTATAGTCGACCCGATTCATCCGAATAACAATTAACGATTAACCACTAACCACTAACTTTAATTTCCGTCAATATACTCTTGCTTTACTTTTTCGGCAATATATCTTGTTCATATTATTATCACATTGTATTTATATCTTATCATATTATTCATACATTGTTCATATTACTCGAAAGCACACTAAAAATATCGAAACCCTAAAAGATTCAATTGGTGGACTGTTGGTTAATATTCTCGAGAAATGGAGTATGAACTTTGTACAGAAACCCTAGCATGGAGATTTTTTGTCTGACTCTTGCTCGTGGCTTAGTTTAGGACACCTCGCACACACACGACTTCCTCTTGGGCTACCTGATAATGACCCCATTTATTTCTCGCAATCCCGTGTAACTTACATGTACCCCACTCCCATTTCGATGTACACACTTTATTCATTTTTGGATTATGGTTTTGCTTACTATGAGCACCCATAGGAACTAGCATATACTAAACCATTTTCAAACTAATTCTCGATTTGTCGTCGAGCCATTTTCAAAACACCCTTGTAAGTCGATTGCTCTTTAGCATTGGCCATCAACCTAATACACACACTTGCACCTTCCATCGTGGTTTCGTTACTAAGAGCACCCCTAGGGACTAGGATTGATCCTCACCTCTTTTCGTATTTTCAAAACAAACTCTTAAGTCGAGTGTCTTTTGCCTAGCAATCAACCTCCTCTCAAGCGCATACAATCAAACCCTAGATCCAACATCAAGTGGATTTTCTCAATCAAACTCAAACCGCATAACAACTATCGAAACTCTTTTCAAGGTGAAAGTGAGGGGGATGGAGTCTTCGTCCTTTTCTTCAATTGTTTGGGTGTGAGTTCTCTTACTCGTGTGTAAGCAATTGACACCTCTAAAAGACTTCTAACGCGACAACATTCAAAAACAATCTCAATTAAGGTTGAAAAAGAGAGAAAGTCGAGTCTTCGATTCACTCTCTCGATTACTTAGACCTGAGGAGCCTTTCTTAAGCTTCAAGTAATCGTCATCCAAGCAAAACACCATTCATTTTCTTTCGTGGTCGTATCCACGAACTACGAACGCTCTGATTCTTCATTCTCGCCCGAATGAAGATACATAGGCACAAGATTGCGATGATCTTGGCGAGCTCACTTCCATCTTTTTCCGTCATTCCGCGTCTACCTTCTACCTTTCCTCCATCTTCTGTTTTCTACCTTTTCTAAGCCTTTCCCGTAATCGAACTACAAGTGCTCTAATTCCTCATTCTCGTCCGAATGAGCATACGTAGGCACAAGGGTCCCAATCCTTGGCGAGCACCCTATCTTAAAACCACCTATTTCCTCTTCGATCCCCTTTTATTGCATTGTTTTGCATTTAATCGTTTATAAGAAAACAAATAAGTTTAGTTAACGTTCATCACAATTCGAACTAAGAGGTTCCCGTTGAGTACAACATACGTGAGGGAATGCTAATACCTTCCTCTCACGTAACCGACTCCCAAACCCAGAATGTGGTTGTGATGACCATGTTCTTATCTCTTAAAGATTTACTCGATATTTTCCTTTCTCTCTTTTAGGATAAATAAAGTTCGGTAACGACTATGTTGAACTGTTTTTCCACGCCTTTTGCGCGATGGTCGTATTTTCGATTTGTATTTTTTCGAGGGTGCGACACTCGCTAACCCAACTTAAAATACATCAACACTAATAACATAAACTCCATTACAAATTTTAGAAATTTTAGAGTTATAACATGGTCTCCTATCCTTTACACCATCAAATATCTTAATTCTATTATTTGCGAGCGATAATTGTCACTCTATTTTGAGTATGACAGGCGTATTCATTACTTTAATTTTTTTTAATAAGGAAAGTATTGAATATTGTGAAATTTTTTTTAAAGCAACACATTTGTGAAAAATACATCACATATTTATTCAAAACTTTAAAATAATAAGTGTATGAAGTCTCCTACTTATAAATACTAAGTATTCACATTTCTAACTAATGTGAAACTATTACCCAATTATAAATACTAAAATATTAAATTCCCAAACATGCTTTCCTTTTCTTGCTGATACATGTTTTTCAAGACTTATTCTTATTAGCCTGGATAGAAATTTGGTTGTCAATCTTATTATCATATCATCAAGTTTGTGAAAAGAAGGCCTTGGTGGCTGCTTCGTCGACCTAAGGGTCAAGTCAAACCTGCTCATTTTTATTGACTATGTCATTTTAAATACATTTACACTGTTCATCAATTATCTTATTGTGATTGGAGAAATAGAATAGGTTCATATTCCTATAGGCTATAAATACTTGCAATTTAATCTAGCTACAATTCTTTAGCTACTCTGAAATACTTAATTCTATTCTATTCTACTGCGAATAATAACACCAACACTCCTTCGCTGGAAAAGTAGTCAAAAAAACAACACATTAAAGTGAAGTTGAGTCATTCAAATTCAATTCATTTCATTTCAACTACTCATCATTGCAAATTGTAACTGAAACAGTGTCAAACTGAGAGAGACTCCAATCGCATCGGAACAGAATGGGTCACGAACACTCCAAATTGCCGTCGTCGTCGTCGGCGGCGGAATCGGAAACAAAAGGATCGCGTCTTGATCGATTCAAGCACCGTCTTCACTTTCGCCGCAAAACTGCTTCTGCTGGTAACGCTCATTCCTCCACTCAAAAACTCCTCTCCGCCAACAACTTCACCGGAATCGCTCTCTTCGCCCTCCTCCGCGTAATTCCCCTCACTCTCGGCGTTAATTTTTCAGTGAATTGGAATCAGTGATTGATGACTGTTTTGTTTGTAATGCAGGCGGAGATGCACTTCAAGGATAAATGGATCGCGTGTCTTTCACTGGGAGAACAAACTTTTCGTACCAAGTGTTCTCAAAAGTTAGTTAACAACACTTCAATTCATCATCATCATCATCATCACTACTTTATTATTATTCCAATTATGTACTATATCAATGTTTCTTTCATTTTCGTTGTGTATTGATTTTGTTTTTTTCATTATTCTTGCTGGTGATGCAGTACAGATAAACCGGTTTGGAATTCTGTGAGTACTCTTATCTAAACTATTGACAATTTTTTATAATGAAAAGATATAGATATATGGTTCCAAAAGTAATGCCTTGTGGATACAAATGATGATATCATACGCTTGGAGTACGGTTTTCATTTTTAGTGTTAGGTAGGTACTTGCATTGATAGTTTGTGTGATTCATATTTTCTTTTGCAGGAAAAGAAACTTTTGTTGGAACAGAATGGGCCTCATATTGCAAGAGTTTCTATCTTTGAGGTGTGCTATAAGAATTAACAGCATTCCTTTTCATTATTTATATGCATTATCTTGTAGTAAGCATATGTTTTTCTTTGGGGGTGGGGGTTGTAATGGGGTGAGACATCACTTTTGTTAGCCTGAGATAGATAAAATCTATGAAAGTAATAAATAAAATGGATGAGAACCACTGAGTTAACAGATCCATCTTTAGATATGAATCGTGACTGGGCTTTATAGCATTGTTTGATAAATATAATTAACTGACTGTACCAAATGAAAATAGCTTTAATTGATTATTGTTTTACATGAAAGAAAAAAAACTTCATATAGTATACAGACTAAAATTGTCGAACTGTTGTAACTTTAGGGCCCTTGCCCCCAAACACTGCATCTAATTTGATTTTTTTTCTCATGTAGACCAACAAACTGTCCAGCAATACTCTTGTTGGATACTTGGAGATTGATCTGCTTGAGTTTCTGACCAAGGTAAGGAAACTTTGCTTCATTTTTAAGAAATCACAGATGTTAGACTTGTTAATTTATCAGCTTCTTCCGTGTCTTTTCAGCATTATTCATTTTACACCCTTTCATTATGAATGATATGATGGTGCAGGATTCTGATTCGGACATTGAAATATTCAACGTTTTGGATCCATCAGACCCTGGAAAAGTGGTTGGCAACATCACCATTTCATGCTCTGTAGAGGTATACGGTATACCAATACAATACAATTCTTTTGTTGTTAGGGTAAGATAAAATTTTCTAACAATTATAAGTGAAAATTAACAGGATCCAATTGAAACAGAAAAAGGCTTTGTTAGACGCATTTTATCCATCGTGGTAAGTTTGATCTTCCTCTACTTTCTGAAAACTCATGTTTTTTGTTGTGAGTTTAAACCTAAGACTTATGAGGGTAACACATGAAGTGGTGATATATAGTCTCATCCCATATATATTAGGATATTGGTGTTAAACCAAAACTGCCTCACGGATTGTTGCTTGGACTTTTTTGATATTGACACATATTTGCAACATGTTACGCAAATTGCTACCACTGGTAAATATTAATAGATGACAATGTCAATTTATTCATGACGTTTCCTTTCTCTATTGGAGGGTCTTCAAGCTTGAAATGATGTATATATAAGTTGAATGCATAGAAGAACAGTTGAAATCTTTAATCTTATTCAGTGCCATTTAATATCAACTAGATGATTTATGCTTTATGCAGGACTACAATGAAGATGGGATGCTTTCGTTTTCTGAATTTTCTGATCTGATTGATGCTTTTGGCAATCAATTAGCAACCGGCAAGGTTCAAATTATTTTGCACATTCTACAATGCTGTTACCCTTTTGTTTTTGGATTTTTTTCTTGCTAAATTATCATCAGTGTTCTTCTGTACCTGGATATGGATTTGGACTTTGATTTTTAAAAAATTCTCTATTAATTTCAGTTATTATGGCTTACATAAACTAATAAAATCTGAATGTAAGAATTTCGAACCTCGAATTTGAACAATGGAAACTAGCTATTTTGGTCATATTATCAAAAGTCCAAATCTTCACTACAAAAGATACGGGGCTTAAAGTTCGAATAATGAATCTTTGCCTTATAAATCATAAAATGATTTTACAATTTAATATCTAGTTTTGTATATACAAATTATACTGCTTCAGCGATACAATTCTTTTTCAATAGAAAGAGGAGCTGTTCAAAGCAGCTGACAAGAATGGAGATGATGCTGTGAGCATGGATGAACTGGCTTCTCTTCTTGCTTTTCAACAAGAAAAGTAATGATCCATCTAAAATACAAGAGACTAAAAGCTTTGGTTCTGTATGCATGTTGTTGTCTTTTGCTAGCAGTAGAGATATTACTGCTTATTATAAATTTTCCAAGTCATGTTTGTTTACATTTGTTTGATTCTTATATGATTAGCTAACTTCTGGTGTAGCAGGCAGCCACTGTTGAATTGCTGCCCTGTTTGTGGTGAGGTTCTTCAGATTTCTGATCCGTTGAACAGCATGATCCACTTAACTCTTTGTTTTGACGAAGGGACGGGAAACCAGGTGATGGCTGGAGGATTCTTGACAGATAAGCAGGCTTCATATGGGTACAATATTTGCAAGTTGCTACTAATTTAAGCCTTAAAAGACTGGAGAACATAATCTTTTATTACCTGATGGATTATATAACAATATTTTAGTGGCATATATATGGACTGCGGTTATGTATTTATGGTTTTAACATCATGAGATAATAAAATCACTCGTTTACTTTTTGGTTTATATAGCTGGTTCTTCAAGTTGAGTGAGTGGGCCCATTTCTCATCCTATGATGTCGGTATTCGATCTGGATCAAGTTCTTCCCATATTCTGGTATGCCATAGTTCTTTCCATACCAATTTCCTCTTTCTTCATTTTATTTAAAAATCTGACGACATTCATATCATGCATTATACGTGGATGTATGTTTCAAGTTATATGTGGATGATCAGAACCTCTCTGAAATTTCTTATATCCAACACTGATAACTGAGTTTACGAATCACATTCACCATAATTAGAAGAAAGCTGGCTACCAAGAACATATATCAATTCTGACGGCACCCTTTTCATGCGGATTATAAGTATCAACATTTTTTTGTGCATACCTTTTTAAAAGTTTCGAGAATTCGATTTTATTGGTTCAACAACTTCATCAAAGTAGAGAACTAGAAACATCCTTAAAGATAATTTGAGGAAATTAGAAATGCCATACTATATACTGATATTTTTATTCCATATCTGTACCTCTGCACCCATTCAACATGCTATTTATTTACTTCATCTTACTTTTGGCTTCAGGTATATGATCGGAAGTCTCAAAGGCTTGTCGAAGAACAGATTGATAAAAAGATTGTTTTGTCAATGAGGGCTATTTATCAGTCAAAAATAGGTCTTGGTCTAATGGACATAGGTATGTGGGTTGTTTATTTCTTTCTCTTAATAGTTGAAAGAAATTGTAGGCTAAATGCATATGTAACCTCACAAGTCACTGCTCTTTGTCATGGCTCTTGTGGTACAGTGCTGCTGATGTGTTGTCAATAGAACTATTGCTACAAAAAGATTATGGTTGAAACATGCTGTGCAGATATTAGATCTTGCTGACATTTCTTTAACCCGATTTTGTGTTTTTTTTAGTAGATTACTACTAATAAAGAATAATATCAGTTTTAAAAAATGATTTATCATACTTCATCCTTTTGTTACTTGGGTTGCATTTACCAGAGACATGGGATTTGACGTCAATATGTGATTCAGATTGAACTTGAATAAACTTTTCCATCTGCGTTGAGTTAGTCATTTGCCTTACTTTGGCAAACCTCTGGTATGCAGGGGTGAAGGAGCTCCTGCAAAGCATTTCTGAAAAGCAAGGAGCAAAAATGGATTCCCTTGAATCTGCTGCTGATATACCGAAATTCATTGAATCTTATAAGGTATGACAATATTTATATTAGTTCTTTGTGGGGAGCATAATTTGATTTTGACAAGTAGCGGAACAATGCAATTCTTGGTTATGTTATATATCGTGCCCCTTGTTTCTGTGTTGTCGTTTCTTTTGGAGTTTTGCTTGTCATCTTGTGCGTTTTAGCCATCTCATCTAATAATATATCTTTCTTCCATTTTACAATTGCTTTGTTTCACTTTCACAAATGGGATATCTTTTCTTTTACAATTGCTTTCTTTCTGTTTTTTTTTTTTGTGTGTGTTTTTGTGTGTGTGTGTGTGTATATATATATATATATATATATATGTATATGTGTGTGTGTGTGTGTGTGTGTGTGTGTGTGTGTGTGTGTGTGTGTGTGTGTGTGTGTGTGTATTTTAAAATTAAAGGATATTGCTTTCATTCAACATTCAGCATTCTTAAGTTAAGAACAGCTAGTAGTACTGTCCCTCAACCACAAGACAATGTCCATGCCTGACATTTATTACTGGCAAACTTGAAGAGCCACTCTTACCATAACCATTATATGAAATGTTAGAGGACAAGCATCTAATGGCATTGTACAGCACAATTCAGAGTAGTCAATAGTGGCGCTATCCCGCTATAACATACCGGAGTGGAGGCCAGCCGCTAAGGGAAGAGCCATAGCGGTGCAGAACACTATAGCGGGATAGTGGAGCAGAGCGGTTCCTACCCCGCTATCTCCCTCCACCCCCCCTAAAAACTGAAATTACTCCTTAAATTTACGTTTTAAGGATAAGTTTGGGTTTTTCAATCAAATTTGAGTTAGACTCAACCTTAACCTTCCTTCATAGTCGTTTATGCACTTCTCGAGAGTCATGTGTGCTTTAATTTATGAACATTTTATGAGTTGAATTATTTGCTTAGTTTTACATTAAATATATGTTTATAATTGTTATATGTAATTTGTCCAAAAAATGATCTAATAGAGCAGTCATCCCACTATCCCACTTTTGGAGTTGGCCGCACCGTGCCGCTATCCGAGAATGATTACTCTGGCACAATTGACAATACGATAGGAAATGACAATCATATACGGTGCAATATATATGTGTGCGTACAACAACTATTAAAAAATGGCACTATATTGTGGTGTGTGTGCACGCCCGCGCGTGTTTGTTGAAACAGTTTTAATGCATAATAGGATGCCATTTTTTTCTGCCACTTTTTTTCTTCCATTTTTCACCTAGTTCTTTATGTGCTGGACTTGGCGGCCTATGATCACATCCATCTTATAAAGTGAATATTGTCTTGTAGGGTCAAATCAATTTGGCTGAAGTCAAGTATCCACTGGAACACTTTAAGGTGGGCTAAAACTGCAGTTTGGATTTTTATGTTATTGATGCACAATTTTTTATCCTATCTATGCTTAAAAATTAAATTAATGGTGTATCATATGCATATGGTCTTATGAATTAATTTAGTAATGGTCTTATGATTTAACTAAGTAAATATTATTTCATGTGAAATATTTTCAGAAAAACATTAACTCCGCTCCTGTGTTGCTTAGGTAGGCGACGCTTATGTAATAACATTTCATTTAGTTGCTGTCTATGCTTGAAAAATAATCTGTTACCTTCATTCTGGTTAAATACAAACATTCTTCTTACTGACAACTTTCATTCCGGCTACAGTATGTTTTTATTTACAATTTCAATCTACTTCAGCTGTTTTTTATTTTGTGTTTTAGCCATTTTCAATTTGCTTTTGTGGGACCCTCAAATTCTCCTGCTTTACTCACTGATCTATACGAAGAACTAAAAGAATTTGTTTTTCATTGAGTTTGCTACATATATTTTGTTTGAATAAGAAGTTGGAATGAAAATGAACAAAATCTAACCAATGATCATACTGAAAGTCATTTATACTTCATTATGGTAGTATTATCTTGTTTATGACACATATCTGGAATAATGCTCCGGGCAGACATTCAATGAATTTTTCATTAGAGAGTTAAAGCCTGGTTCAAGACCAATTGCTTCTGCTGAACACGACAACATTGCTGTATGTGCGGCCGATTGTCGTCTAATGGCATTTCCATCAGTTGATGATAGTACAAGATTTTGGATTAAGGTATTTCTTTTACATCTCTTGCATGTGGGTTTCTTGTCTCAAGAATGCATTTTGTTTTTAATATTTAGATAGATGTTTGTCATTTGAGAATATGCACTTAAGAGGAAGACATATTTATCAGTCACAACTACAAGTTGGCAATGAGTGTTTTTCTATTCTGTTTGAACCTAGCAAAAAAATTAAATAATAAATATGATAAAGTTATGATTTTTCTCATTCAATTTAGACCATGACTCGCCTGTAAGTTAAGACAGGTGTGGGGTAGGGGTTGGTTTTGGGTAAGAAATATGGTTAGGCCTAATTCAACCTTACAAAACCAGCTTATAGGGTGAGGTTTGCTCCCACTTATAAGGACATGTTTAGGTTATATATTATCCGATGTGGAACTCTTAACACACCCCCTCACGCTCATGACTGGAGATCTGAAGCGTGAAAATAAATGGCGGGTGACCCGATAGCGGAAACCTGATAGCATGTGACCCACCGAATCTTAAACGAGACTCTAATGCCATGTTAAAAATTCATCCGTACAAAACTGGCTTGTAAAGTAAAGGGTGTCATTCTATATAAACTCTTGTGGGTTTTTTCTTTAACCTATGTGGGACTTGTGTTTTTTCCAATACACGCCTCACACCCAATTGGACTTGGTGTGTGGAAATAAATAGTGGGTGACCCAAATTATCGATATATGAGATTTGGTTTTTCCAATACACATGATAAAAAATGTGATTGACCCTAATTCATCTCTACAAAACCGGCTTATAGGGTGACGATTATCCTCCAATTATAAGAATATCTTTAGACCATATATTATCTGATGTGAGACTCTTAACAATATTTGCTTTTATGAAATTATAATCCGGTTTATTTTTGCTTAAATGAAATGATTTAGTTGCTTGAACAATTTTTAATGATAATGTGAGCGTGATTAGTACTTCGGGTACTTCTGAAATAGTGAGCTACTCTTACCGGGTACATAATCCGGTAGTAGTAGTGATACTTCCTTTTTTCTAATTTTTGGTTTTCTTATATTTTAATATTATATTATTTAAGTATTTTAGTTTCTTTGTTGTTGTAATTTGATACAATTTTTTACTTTTTAAATTTTTATCGTGATGTTTTGCTGTGAATTGTAAAATTTAGTTCTCTCATGTTACAATATATAAAAAACTATTTCTTTTATTGATGTATTCATACGTTTTTTTTAATGATGTATCTTGTACCGCACATATGCATCACACTGACCACTATTATATCCAACACATTTTCTTTATAATGTATTTTGTCTTCTTATTTATCAGCTACAAGGAAAATCATGTTATCATATATATTGGGAAATCTCTCTTTCTCTTACTTATTAATCTTTGGGTTAAATATGTTTGTGGTCCTCCTGAATATCTTAATTTTCGGTTTTAGTCTTTCAAAATATTTTCTTCAAAGAATGGTCTTCCTATAATTTTTCACCTACACTTTTGGTCCCTCGCAAATTAGCGACAATTTTTACAAGTTAGCAACAGAATTAGTGACAATTTTTACAAGTTAGCGACAGAATTAGCAACAGTTTTAACGACGGTTTATTACTTAGCGACAGTTTTAGCGACGGTTTTAGTATTAGGGACCAAAAGTGTGGATGGAAATTTTTAAGAGGACCATTCTTTGAAGGAAATGTTTTGAGGGTCTAAAAACGAAATTAAGATATCTAGGAGGACCATAAACATATTTAACCCTTAATCTTTTATATTCATTTATGTACTCAAAATGAAATTCTTTTGGAATTGTTATTTTTTGCTCTCAGGGTCGAAAGTTTTCAGTTCAAGGCCTTCTGGGGAAAGAATTGTGTTCCAGTGCTTTTGTTGATGGAACACTTGTGATTTTCCGTCTGGCACCACAGGTGTTTGTTGCTTTCTTTCATTGCCACTTTAATTTTGTGTTCTTTTGATTGCAAATTTTGATTTGAATGTTTATCTATTGCAGGATTATCACCGTTTCCATTTGCCAGTGTCAGGAATTGTTGAGCAGTTTGTTAATATCCCTGGATGCCTGTTTACTGTATGTGAATTAATAACTCTGGGAAAATGATATTTTATTTACAGTTTCTATTTTCCGTCATTGTGTGTTAACTATCATTTGCAATTTTCTGACATGTTCTATTTCTCTTAGGTCAATCCCATTGCTGTAAATAGCAAATACTGTAATGTCTTCACAGAGAATAAACGAGTCGTTTCAATAATTGAAACTGTAGATTTTGGAAAGGTTTGTGACTGCAATTAATTTGCATGTGATGCACGAGTTTATAATGCTATCCTGCTGAAGTTGTTTTTTACGAATTTATAAGAATATATGAATTTGGATATAACATCTATCAAAAACTTAAACTTCCGGAAAATGCGAATCATATTATAGTTTTAAGAATGGTACCACTTGCTTAATTTATAAATTTAATGTTTTTCTTCTTCCAATTTGTTATGTGTCCAACATTAACTAGATTGTGAAAGGGAAAGTTTGCTCAAGTTTCAACTATTTTATTACTTTGTATAAGTTGTTGTTAAATGGCTTCCTCTTTTGCATTTTATACTTAGTGGTGTATTCGTATAGTCTAGTCCCATAATTTTTAACTTCTACCCGGTCTTGTTCTTATTTATTTAATTATAAAAAGCATATAATATATCCATGCATTTGTTAGAGATCAAGATAATGACTCATGCTTTTGCATCCTCGCATTCTTGCTATTATTTTAAAGGCTTGTTACATTTGTGAAGTGTTTTTACAGAACACCCTATAAGTTCCCTGGCTCCTCTGCAGATCTATATGTTACTTGTCTCTTAGAGAGTTACCTATGATTTGGTTTGTGTTCAGGTGGCATTTGTTGCAATAGGAGCTACAATGGTTGGTAGCATTACTTTCACAAAGACACATGGCGACTATGTCAAGAAGGGAGATGAGGTTTGGAATCCGGCCAGTTACTGTAAATTAATATTTTCCAATTTTCTTCATTGTGTTCTTGTTTCTAATTGGCAGTTTGGATATTTCTCTTTTGGTGGAAGCACTGTAATTTGTGTTTTTGAAAAGGTTGGGATCATCTTTTATCTTTCAGTTAATTATTTCTTGTTGTTTCATGTTTGAAATCTATTTAGTGACTTTTAAAACATCAACTGAAGTCTATTTTCCCTCTTATTTTTGTTGCTGTGCTATGCAGGATTCAATTGCAATTGATGAAGACCTTCTATCAAATAGCGCCAGATCACTGGAGACTTTGGTTACTATGGGGATGAGATTGGGTGTCTCCACGAGGAATCTGTCTTGATAGCTGAAATCGCCTGGACTAACCTAGAAATGTTAATATTCTGTAATGTGTAATTCTGTATTTTTAATTTACTTTGAATCATCAGTGTTGTTTATTGATGACGGATATTTCCCATAATCTTTAAACTTTTTTATTCTAATTCGTTGAATTAATATTTAATAAGTTGAATTAATATGTTTCTAAGCTAATTAATTAATTAATTAAAACTCTTAAAAGTAGAGTCTCTAGGCTTAAATCAAATCTTTTACAATCAAAGTCCAATATATATATTACATTTTTACATGTTCCTGTTAACTTTATAAACACTCAAATTGTTTTCAGACACATGTTAACCAACCTCTGCTATTTTTATTTTCTTTCAAATTTTAAAACATAAACAATTGTCTAAGTTATCAATAAATGATTTTTCCCTACTTTGTTGTGTTCATGTATTATTATTAGAGAATAACGTCAATGCTCAAGTTTAACTCTTAAAAATGTTTCTAAATTCTGATACATCTCAATCTTGATATCTTCACAATTGTATTTGATCACAAATGACATATGGTTACAAGAATAAACCACAAATATGGTTACTATATTTCTCTTTCACTTCAATCACAGACCAAAATGGAAGTGCCTATGAACACAAGTATTACTGCATATGGTTACTATGTCTCTCTTTCACTTCAAACGACACATGGTTACAAGAATTCTGCATCTTTACAAACAAAGTGAATATTTTGGTTGAAACATAGTATTCCTCGACAAAAGCCAAGACTAAAATTATAAAAACATACGTAACATGACATAAGTATACAATGAATATATGTGACATTTTGAGGCATGCAGCGTGTGACTCCATCTCTCCATCATTTTTTTATTGACCAGTCATGAAGCTGAAGTGAGTCGTTCTTCATCAAGTTTATGCTCAGGCTTTTGAATCTCTCCCGAGAATATTGCATGGATGCTTTTCTCCAATCAGTCCACGTCTTCATCATGGCTACAAACTCCTCAAAACTGATGTGATGTCTTTACAAATCTGAGTAGAGAAGATTAGGATGAATTGAATAAGATAAGCCACATTCTAAATAGAGCAATTTTGCTTGGGTCTGATGTAAGAGAACACAAGGAAGAGAGTGAAATGACACGCATGTGCCACTTAATTAGCACAAGCTTGTATTTGAGTCCCACATCATTTTTTCATAAAATATTTTAGACAACAATGCATAATCAAATGTCTTCATGTGCATAAGCTTGAAATTAATGTTGTTACAAATTGGGCCAAAAATAGAAGCTAAGTTCATCAAAATTAAAGGACTAAAATCGGAATTTTCTTTATTACTTCAAATTTTAACCAATTATGAAAAATACAAAACCACAAACTTACATGAAAAATAACAATTTGTTTTCTTGCAAGTTTTCTATCATTTGTTTAATCCGATTAATTCATAGTATAACAATTCCATTTTTGTTCTTTATTTCAAAAAAATTCATTCTTAAATCTCGTAATTTATGAATGGCATAAATAATTAGTGAAAAGTTTAGTATTAAAATCGTTAAACAAATTTTTTCTTGATTGTCATTATACATTGATATTTTGAAAAATGTGCACATTAAATCGTAGGTTTTCCTTATATAATAGTGATCTTGATCTATAATGTATAAATTAAGATTTATTTAATTAGCAAGTAGCTTGACAACTGCTGAGAGAGAATCAAGCTGAACTTTTGAAATGGCTAATGGTTTCATACATAGAAGATTATGGAGACGTATCTCCAACATATTTTTCCTTCGTCGTCAATCGAGGGTGAACGATACTCGACTTTGACAATTTTTCGATTTTCTAGATATCACAGTAGAGTGTTCAGTTTATATTTCAAACCGAAGAGGGGTGTGTCCTCGTAGACCCTAAATTAAAATGGAGGAGTTTTTCTCCATTGAAATACACAAATGCTGAGGATATGTATTCATTATGTATACTAGAAACCACATTAAAGTTTCTTGTATCATTCATCTTACGGTATCGGCGCACTTTAAACAAACACTCACATTTTCTCGATCCATTGTCATCAAGTTTCAACTTCCAAATCGGTGGTTGGTACGTTTTACTTCTTTTGCATCCCATTGTTACAAATACTTGTATTATGTCAGAACCATTATCAGAACTTCCTATTGTAACACCTAACCCCAATTTTTGGACTCCATGCAGACCCATTGTAGCATATATACACAAACCATAAATTTGCTCACGAACATCTACCTTGACAACAACCGGTCTAGCATCCGTTTTAACATCGCTATTCACTTCATCCTGTTAACATTGATATTTTGGAAAACGTGCACGTTGAATCATAGGTTTCTCTTATATAATAATGATATTGATCTATAGTGCATAAATTAAGAGTTATTTAATCAGCAAGTAACTTGACAGCTGCTGAGAGATAATCAAGCTGAACTTTTGAAATAGCTAATGGTTTCATACAGAGAAGATTATGGAGACGTATCTCCAACATATCTTCCCTTCGTCGTCAATCGAGGGTGAACGATACTCAAGTTTGACAATTCTTTAATTTTCTAAATATCGCAGTAGAGTGTTCAGTTTAGATTTTAAATCGACGAGGGGTGTGTCCTCGTAGACCCTAAATTAAAATGGAGGAGTTTTTCTCCATTGAAATACACAAACGCTAAGGATATATATATATATATATATATATATATATATATATATATATATATATATATATATATATATATATATATATATATATATATATATATATATATATATATATATATATATATATATATATATATATTCATTATGTATACTAAAAACCGCATTAAATTTTCTTGTATCATTCATCTTACGGTATCAGCGCAATTTAAATAAACACTCACATTTTTTCGATCCATTGTCATCAAGTTTCAATTTCCAAATTGGTGGTTGGTACGTTTTACTTCTTTCGCATCCCATTATTACAAATACTTGTCTTCTGTCAGAACCATTGCTAGAACTTCCTATTGTAACACCTAACCCTAATTTTCGACCTCCATGCGGACCCATTATAACATATATACACAAACCATAAACTCTTATTTATTTATAATTTGTTCACGAACATCTACCTTGATAACAACTGGTGTATCACCCGTTTTAACATCGTTATTCACTTCATCCGGTTTAACATTCATCCTCATAGTAGTTTTGGGAAACATATAAGGACGCACCATATCTAATACCAACAATAATGGAAAAACATATTAAAAACTCAAAGTATCAGGCACGTCCGGAGATGCATCTTCGAATCTTATGAAACTGTGTTCGAATATGCATCTTCGGACTTAACGTTCATATTTACAACTCAAAAAACACATTAACACAAGGAATGCGGGATGAAATAAATAAAATTTACCTTAAATTCAAACTTCTTTTGCTCCTTTTGATGTAATAAAATAAAAGAATATGTTTGGTGTAAAAAAGGTGATTGAGAAATAAATAAGAACGAAGTGGTCATGCCTTGGCTTGAAGCTTGAATCTTACGATGACTTAAGTTTGAATTTTAAATTTGAAATTTACATGAATAACATTAGAACAAAACTTAGATTATAAGAAAAAGGTCATAAGTCTAGTCTTGGGACTTAAACACATGCGTCCATAACTTTGACACTGATGGGAACCTTCTTGAGACTAATCTTGTATATGCCCATACTTGACTTTTCAAATCAATCGTGAGTCCAAAATGAAAAAGCGCTCTAAACTGAGGGAATCTCAATCCATACCACGAAGATCATCCTTTCTTGAAAACAAAGTACACGAACCGGTCAACCTTGCAATACATCATGCCCTTAAATAAACACGTCTCAAATCAACGGACGAGAAAACTTAATCTTCCTTTGGGAATGTTCTGATGTCTTGAAGAGAATTTGTCATCAGACCTTGAATCTTTTGCAGCAAACCTGACTTCACAAAACAAAGCAAACAAACTATTTAGAATGGTTAGCTATGCATGAGTGATTAACTTAGATGATATGTGAACGATCAACAAATCTAAGGGTAAAATTTGGGGTGCGACAGTTGCCCCTATTTAAATATCTTCACTGGATGATATCAGCGATGAAGAACTTCGCGAAATCATGGTGAAAGGTATTTAAATACAGATAACCGAAAATATTGCCCTTAGATGTAGTGACATGCAATGCTAATGGACAAACGAAACTAAACTACAAATGCTGACAATGCTATGAACTCTAGTATGATGCAAATTGATTGAATGATAAATGCAGAAATGCAGACGAACGCAAGCAAACAGGGATGAAGCCAAACACAATGAGTGACCACTCACTAGGGATGACAACGCACCGGGGAAACAGACCAAAACTGGGGAAATCTAAAGTGATGGACCAACAGGTTCAATCATGACCGGTTGACACTTTAGAAAGAAAGCAAAAAGAGATCCTCAATGGAGATGGCACCGACAAGACGGCCTCTACTAGGAAAATATTACGATTGATAATCACAAGTTATCTTTAAACATATCATGGAGAACTTTGTGAGGAAATCCACTTGAAGAACCTACTGTATAGGTCAAATGTAATGATTTCAAGAGATAACAGATGGATAAGTCTACTGTCGAGACTTGTAACATCAATTAGAGAATACTTTTTCCAAAATGTCTATTGTCAAAACTTCTAGGGAATCTGCAGCCGAGATTCTATGTTGAAGTTTGTTGGAGATATACTTCTGTCGAAGTCTTTTGGAAATCTTCTGCCGAGAATTGTCAGGAAATGAAAAGAAATACCTACTGCCGAGGTCTTCAGGAAACCTTCTGCCGAGACTTGCCAGGAAATGAAGTAGAAATACCTATTGTCGAGGTCTTCCAGAAATCTATTACCGAGACTCACCAGGGAAAGAGATAAACGAACCCCAACGGGTAGCTTAAACGTACGATATCTCCATCAAAAATGAAGATGCATGGTACTCATCATTAGGAATGTAATAGTTTAAACAACGGGCAAGA